CCACATTCACCCAAAAGTGGTTGTTTACAAAGTGATAGCTAATCCTCCAACCCCAAACGAAAAGCCTCATATTATTATGAATACTAGAGGTTTTAATACCGTGTCCAACACTCCATATTCGTGCCAAAATACAACACTCATTTATGTGCCTATCAATCACAATGGTTGTAATATTTACTATAGCTCAGATTACATGGCTCTCTCTCATACGCTCTCCCATGTCTTAACAATTAACATAAATGAGTGTACTTTATGCTGTTTTAGGGTGAAAAAAGACTCATAGCACCATAGAACATCCCGTAGAGAGCAACCTCTGAACTTAATGAAAGATTCTCCTACTATACACATGAATTATAACAAGCCCTAATTTTTTAATGTAGCCTCTGTATGTCATGAACTCAAGCTCTCATGTATAAACTAAAAATAAAACCTTCCACACAGTGGATAGGGAAATTGAAGCTCATGCTCTCCCATGAGGAAAAGGAAGCAGTAAAATCATCTGAGGATAACTTGTTTGGTGTGTACTTCATGGATTAATGGATTATGTATGAAAGTTCAGGGCTCAACACATGTTGGAAGTATAGGGACAAATGAAAGCAAGTAAAGGTCATTACATCACGAGTATATATCAAGAAACAAGGTACTAGATAAAGTGACAGAATTACACAAATCATTTGATGTGATCTACTGAGTTAGAATAGCGTGTGCTCAATTTGTATTATGTACTGTTTCCAGCTCTATTTGACAATTTTGTAAACACTAGGAAAGCAGTTATGAGCGTCCCTACTGTTCAGATTATATGGCTACCTCTCATAAAGATCTCCCAGAAAAACTTAACAAATAATCTAATAAAAAGGGGGAAATGTGATAATATAAATGTACTGAAAACTGAAAATTTCCTTTTAGTATGATACATAATATCATTTACTTATCATGAATATTCTAGTTCCAACAAAACCCATTGCATCATGAGAATTTCTAAGCAAGAGAATTATGTGAACCCAGTAAGTTCCAATCAATATCGCTCCTACGGTATCGGGTTCGATTTCAAGCGGGTTATCAGAAAAAAAAGAAAAAAGAAAAAAAAAGCACTAGATAAAGCAAAGCACAATTACACAAACCTTTGGTTGAGATCTGTTATTTCTTCAGTTATAAACAGACTATCTAGACCGATCTCAAATACAAAAGGAAGCACTACTCAGCAATAAATTAAGCCAATGAAATTCTTGAGCATCACTGAAAACATTAAATTGAATAAAAAGGTTAAAAACTTTACCTTTACAAGAGGCGATCGACGTCGCGATCGAAGACGGAATGAACCAGTGACGTCGTCTAGGGCAAAAGAGAGCGAATCAAAGGACTAACCTACGTGATTCCATTTTTAGGGCAAAAGGTTAGGGGTGTTAAATGTGTGAGTTTGGGTATTAAATGGGCGGGCCATAAATGGGTGGACATGTTTTGCTCATTTACCCATTTATGGCCTATTTAATATTTTCTAAATGGGCGGGTTTTTGCCCATCCATTTAATAAACGGGCCACCCATTTACCCATTTATGGCCTATTTAATATTTTCTAAATGGGCGGGTTTTTGCCCACCCATTTAATAAACGGGCCACCCATTTATTATATATAATATTTTTGGGGTGTTTTCTTGTAAACTTGTTGGGTGTTTTTTGTAAACTTTTAGGGGGTTTTGCAAAATTTTGGGGGCTCTTTGCAAACTTTTTGGGGGCCTTTTACATAATTTTTTGAGTATATTTTGCAAATTTTTTTTTTTTTTTTTTGGGGGGGGGGGGGGTTACAACCTTTTGAGGGTTTTTTTTGCAAAATTAAAGCATTTGCTAAACTTAATATCAGATAAAAAATCTCCAGACATAAACACTGAAGTGATGGCCAAAACATTGATTTCAAATGTCAATCAACTAAACCCTAGATCTACAAAAAACCTAAGAAAATGCCGAGATTGAGAAGACGAAAGGATCCAACACCAGGCTGAGCTTGTTTGCCTAACTTAAAAACTACTGTTAAACTCTAGATTTATCCAAAAAAGGAATCAATTAACAGACTAAATATCCAGAGCAAGGATCTCCTAGCACAAGACTAAAATCATGGTCAAAGCATTGATTTAAAAATTAACAGTTAACCACACGCTAGATCTAGGGCGAGAACTACTGCCGCGAGCACCAGATCAAAATAAAACATCAAAAAGTAACCGAAATCAAAGAACAATAGCGTCAGATACCTAAACAATAGTCAAATCATTGATTTCAACTCATCGATTCATTAAACCCCAGATCTACACCAAAAGGTACAGCAACAATAACGAGATCAAAGCAAACCCTAGAAAATCACCGAGACGAGAGGGTCAAAGTTCCGATACCTGGCTGAACTTGAGTTGGTGCTGCTCGCGGGCTAGCTGGAGCGAACCGCTGACGAATACGAGCTTGCCGCCGGCAGGGTTTTGGGTGCTGCTCGCGGGCTAGCTGGAGCGAACCGCTGACGAATACGAGCTTGCCGCCGGCAGGGTTTTGGTTTTGGGATGACGGAAAGAAATGAGAAGGCCGAGGGTTTTGGTTTGAATCAGATCAGGGTAAATGGGCTTCGGGTTTTTTTTGGAAATACGGGCGACGAAATGGGTGAATAGAAACCGCCCATCCACCAAGTTCACTAAAGGCTTGTTTGGATTGAGGGGAATGAGACTGAAGGGAAGTTAGGGGAACCATTCACATTCATTCATTTTGTTTGGGAACACTTAGGAGGTGAAGTTAATTCACCTCCATTCACCTTGGTTCACCCCTTAATAGTATAAAAATTGTTACCCCCCAAATTGGGGTGTAACCAAAGGGAAGAGAATTCTCTTCCATTCTCTTCCCTTCCCTTCACTCAGTTTCCCTTAACTTCCCTTCACCCCCTACGAATCCAAACAGGCCCTAAGTATAGCTTGAAATGAACCCGTACGATTACACCCGTTTAACTAAATGAAGTAGGTTTTAGACAGACCAAGTGATAGATTTTTGGTCGCAAATATGATAGGTTTGAACAAGGATTTTATTGGATCCGACCCAATTTCTTTTAAAACCCCGAATACTTTAAAAAAAATAATGTTTTAAACACTTAGGCTCCGTTTGGCAAATGGTTAAGGAAGAAGGGTTAAATAGAATGATTAATGTACTTAACTCATTCGATAATCTGAAGAACTAAATTATTAACCAGTTAAATAAGTTTTATTTTAGCCACTGTGATCAGTTTTAGTGTTTGGGAATAACAATGATTTTAACTATTTTCTTTATAATTAGAAGGATTAACTCTAAATCCTTCTAAATAGGAGTATTAGTAAACCCCTCATTTTGAGGGGTTAACTCATTTTAATCCCTCTAGAGGGGTTAGCTTAATCATTCTATATTTTTTTATGTTTGGCAAATTATGGAGGGTTAACTCATTTTAACCACTGTATAAATTTTTTGTGTTTGGCGGGTTAATAAGAGGTTAATAAGTGGATTAATTGTTCCAATGGAATAATTGTATCCCTTTGGAATATTTTGAGTGGTGTAAAGTGAGACAATTTAGTATAATGAGACAATTTAAAACTTTGATTTGATACTTCATGTGGGTAATCGATGATGTGACACCTTATTAAAGTATAATATTTATCAATCAATTAAGTCTAAATTAATTCACCTAATTGGTTCACTATATTATGTGATATGTTATTATAATATAATACATTATTTTACTTTATACAATTCTATAATATATTATATTATAATTAGTAATTAATTATAACTATATTTAATGTTATTAATTAATATAATATAATATATTATCATAACATGATATATTATATAATAATTGATATAATATACAAACAATAGATTTAATATAATATTTAATTAAATATTATAATATTTTTGTTTAATTTAATATAATATTATTTAAAATATTATATTATTATTAAAAATATAATATTTTATTTTACTTTATGATAATTACTATAATTTAAATACAATAATTGATGACATTGCTCCTTATTAAAATATAAATACTTTAATAATGCCATATCACTTTTAAATATGTTCAATATTATTAATTTAAAAATTTATGAAAAGTATAATGATATTATATTAATTATTAATGATATATATATATATATAGTATTTATATATATATTAATATATATAAATATATATATATATATATATATATATATATATATATTAATCAATACTTTAATATATAGGCAAGTCAATTAAATTTTTTTTTATTATAAATATTAATTAATATTATAAGCCATCAGCAATATGACAAGTATATTTAAGATTATTATTAATATAATAATAATATAATAGAAAATAGTAAATTAATTATATAAAATAATTATTTATAATTAATTAATATATTATTATATAAAATATATAAAACATATAGTTATAATATATATTTTATATCATAAAAATACCACAATAATATTTTGTTAACTAATAAAATCTATACTAATAATATAAAGTAATATTATAATAATATAATACTAATATTATAATATATGAAATATTATTAACCAATATGTAATAATGATATATAATAATATTATATTAGATAATATTATATAATATTTTATTATTTTACTTTCTAATACAATTTTATAATACAATATAATTAAGATATATTATATATTATAATACATATATTAGATATTTAATAAATTAGTACTTTAAAATTATCCCACTTTTCTCATGATTGTCCCAAAGTTAAGAATGGTGTAATTTTTGGAGGTTGGGATAGAAAGTTTGTATAGAAGTAGGATAATTTTAGGAAAAGTGGGCGTAATTGTTCCAATCTCATTATCTCAATGAATAACACCTTAAAGTAAAATGTCAATCTTATTGTCCCAATGATTAATACCATAAAATAAAGTCCCAAAAATTATCTCATTTACCCTAAAAAATTACACCAACCAATAACCCCCCTTAGTTAAAAAATACACTGCATCTATATCTATATAGCAAGTAACAATAAAACAAAGAGGCTTAGGGACAAAAAATAACTGTTTAAACATTTGATTAAAAATTAGCCGTATTTATATAGCAAGTAACAATTAAATATAGGCTTTTTTTTGCAATATTTGTCCCTCAAATCTACCATATTTTGAATTAGTCCTTCAAATAATTGAATTTGCTATTAGGTCCCTAAATTCTTAAGTTATCTCGAAATTAGGCCCTCAAATCATTAAAAATCGCTAATATTGAAACTATTTCTGCTTTTAAGGGAGATGATTTTAGAAACAATTTGAGGATGCTTTTAAAATCAGCCTCTACTTTTTTATTTATATACGATATTATTCATTATATCTTTTAATAATGATCATTAAGCACAATTCTACCAAATAGCTTAGCTATTTTTAAACGATTTTTTATATTTGATTACCAAACTGCTATTTTCAGCAGCTTATATAAGTTGCTTCTATAAATTACTTTTATAAGCAACTTATTATAAGCTCCAGCAATACCAGAGCAGCCCTTATCCCTTAAATCATTGCAGTCTTTGTTAAATTCCCCAATTCTCATAATTTGCTTCAAAATAATCATTTTGATTGATAATTTTACAATTGATTTTAGGGACTAATTTCAAGATAACATAAAACTATGGACCTGATAGTAATTTCAATAATTTAAAGGATTAGTTTTAAAATAGCTAAAGAATTAAGGAACCTAATAGTAATTTCAATGATTTGAGGGGCTGATTCAAAACATGGAAGATTTAATGGACTATATTGGAAGAGCCCTAAAATAGAACAATTTGTACTATATATCAAACCACTGAAATGCAAATTGGTTTAAAACTAATTCAATAGAGTATATTGTGTTTTAGAGTTATCTTTAAGGCAGATGAGTTTAAAAGTAAATGCGGGTAAAACTTTGAGTTTATAGGGAAAAAATTCTTTGGTGAAGTGAGTGAGTTCAAAAATAAAGAGGGCTTTTAATTTACGAGCAAAAAACTCATCTACAATTCGTAATGCTACGACATTGTTGCGAAAAATACAAAGAACAACACTGCTTTGTATTTCGAGTCTAAGAGTGATTTGGAAGTGAGTGAGTTTATAAATATATGGGGGTTCAAGTTTTGGATTTACAATTAAAAATATATATGGTG